TGGCTGATGAGCAGCAGGAGTTGGAGGATGATGAGGGGAAGGATGAGGCGAAATGACGAGGGTGAGGAGGAGGAGGAGGAGGAGGAGGAGGAGGAGGAGGAGGACGAGGAGGGAAAGGATGAGAAGGAGGAGTTGGCGGATGAGTAGCAGGAGGACGAGGACGAGGAGGCGGAGGAGGAGGAGAAGGAGGTGGAGGCTAAATGACGAGGAGAAAGAGGTGGAGGAGGAATGGCGATGAGGAGGAGGAGGAGGAGGAGGAGGAGGAGGAGGAGGAGGAGGAGAAGGACGAGGACGAGGACGAGGACGAGGACGAGGACGAGGACGAGGAGGACGAGGAGGAACATGAACAGGAATATGAATCCAGCAGCATCAGCAAGAGTAGCTTCCCCGAGAGGAGCAGGAGGGCCAGGGCTAGGGCACTAGAGTTGAAAGGAGGGGGCGACTACGACGAGGAAGCACTCGGACTCGGATTCTGACATGGGGCCCGCGCTTTGGCGAGAGCGCCCTTCTGAACGCCGGGGGCAAGGCGCCGGTCCTAAACAGGTGCAGCGCTGCAGGGGGAACACCATTCGAGTAACGGTGCGAGCACTTTTTGTAGTCCCAAGCGCGAACAGCAGCAAGGGGGAGAAAGGGGGGCCCGCGGGGACAGACTTCGAGGAGAGAGGAGAGTAGTATCATACTTCCTGGGTGATTGTAGGGGGGATGGAAGGGGGGTTTTGGACGGGGAGCGGGGGACAGGGAGGCAGCGGGGGAGACCCCTCTTCCCGCTTCTCCCCTTCCCCCTTCTACTCCCCCTCCTCCTGTGAGAGGGGTCGAGAGACCTACTGGAAGCGCATCTTGCTCCGCCGTCGCAGGCCAAGCTGACCTCGATCGGCGTCGAACTCAACAAGGCGCCGGGACGGTGGGGTATTCTTCGCATTGTTGGATGTGATGGCGTGATCCCCGTGATTATTACATGGTTGCGAACGTGCTGTTCGTTTCAGCATTGAAGGCAATTCCGGTGTCGACAGCGGACTTCGTAGCATGAGAGCCGTAGGACAGGCATACACACGTAATGCGAGTGTGCATACGGCGTTGCAGGCGTACCACCAAGCCGGAGAAGCAATCGTTGGCAACATCAGCAGTCAGCATCAACAATAAGTACGGAGGTATGCGTGAATGAATACGGCGGTGCAGTTTTGCATCTATATGTATGTGCATGTGTATACGCATATGTATATGCATATGCATTTGTACATGCATATGCATGTGTTTGTATATCCATGGATCCGTGTATATGTATTATATATACATGTAGATGTATGTGTATGCGCACATCTATGTATGTATTATATGTCTATTTGTTTATACATGGCACTATCTATCTTTGTGGGTTGTAATGCGTATGCATGCGTACATGTTTAGGCTTGTGTATCGGTGTACCTATCTGTGTACGTATATGTTTTGGTATGTGCATGTATGTGTTTGTTTTTAATTACGAGCACATACACATACATCTACACACATGTATCTACGTTGATATCATCTAGCCTTCCATATGTACACGTGTAGGTAAACGTGTATGTATATGTATACGTACATGCATTTGTATACGTATATGTACATGTACACGCATATGTACGTACACACATGTATATCCATGCATGTATATTGTATATACACAAATGCAGATACCTACATGTAAACGTATGCATACACATTTACGTCTACATACACACACGCTATATACACATGTATGTTGATACGCACGTGTGTATATATATATATATATATATGTATATATATAGGTATATATACATATGTATATACATATGCGTCGCGTCGCGTCTCGGACTTAGGGGGGACCCGTCTCCAGAGGATGTGGAGCGGCTGGTGCTGGCTTTTCATCTGTACAACACCCTCCGCACCCAGCCACCGCTCCCCGTAGACTGCACCACAGAGCAGCATGAGCAGCGCTTCTACACTGCCCGTAGGGCTGCACAGGCACTCGTCGATAGGTCCAGGGCACTCTTCTGACAATGTCCGCCGTGGAGCCGCAAAGGTTGGCGTCGGGATGCTGTGCAGCTTGCTGCACCGCGGTCGGTCCTCGGACTGACACGCCGCCCTCTTGCGATTCTTGTCTCTCTTTCTCTTGCTCTGCTGCAGCTGCCGCATGCTTGTGGTAAGGATGGTGGAGCGTTCCGGTTACGAGCGATGTACATACATATATATATATATATATATATATATATATATGTGTCATATGTCTCATATCATGCGCAGAACTGTTTTTGGATATATATATATATATATACATACATACTGGCCTTCGGCCCATCCCGCCACCATGCCTGGGTTGTAGGTCATAGGCCTCTGGGATGTTCGTTGGTATATCGCAGGAGGCCTCTCCAGGGCCTCTTGGAGGCCGTTTTGAAGCCTCTAGAGGTATTTTTGGGGGTCTTCTGGGGTCTCTCCGGGCCTCTTGGGGCCTCCCTGTGGCCTCTTGGGGGCCTCTTGGGGCGGAAAGCTAGGATTTTCGGTTCGTGTTTCCCCTCTTGGGACCATCTTGAGGCTGTCTTTGGGCCGTCCTGGGCCGTCTTGGGCGCCTCTGGGGCTGTCTTGGAGCCCTCTTGTGCAGTCTTGGAGCTCTGTTGGGGGCCTCTTGGGCTGTTTTGGGACTATCGGGGGGGCCTCTTGGGCCGTCTTGAAGCGTCGAAAGCTCGAAAAGTGGAGGACCCCCAAATCGTCGAAACACCTAAGGGTAATCAATGATTTTGGCCTCTTTGGGCCCTCGAGGGAAGCTCTTGGGGCTCTCTTGGGGCGCCTCGAAGGCTTCTTGGGCCGTCTTGGGGCCGTCTTGGGCATCTTGGATTGCTCGTGCGGCGATTCGGGGCCCTCTTGGACCGTCTGGGCGGCCTCTTGGAGCCCTCTTGGCCCGTCTTGGGGCCTTCTTGGGCCCGAACGTGTCATGCGGGAAGCCGCGACGGGACCATGCTTGAGGACAGGCCCAAGGGATTAGGCGAAAGACCTGAGGACCAACTCGTGCCTCAATGTACGGTGGCGGATATGTATATATATATATATATACACTTATATTTATACACATACACACACATACCTATATATATATATATATATATATATATATATATATATAGGTATGCATATGTGTATGAGTTTCAGGCTCCATTGACAAATACTTGAACGTAGAGCCATGCGCATCAGTGTAAATTGGAGTGTAATGACACGAATGTCGACACTATACGCACAGTTGAAAGTAGAAGTATCTAGTGGTCTTCGGGACATCTCGCTGTCCTCTCTGGGTTATGACCGCGAGGTGCAGAGGGAGCATGTTGTCGGGAACATAGCGGCTTCCCAGGGTTTTGGGCCTCTCGGGTTCCTTTCCGGGGCTTACTTGGGCCTCTTCTTATCTTCAGGCCTTCTGAGGGCCTCTTGGGGTCTGGTTTCACCATGCCGCACCTCAATTGGGGGGTGGGTGGAGCGCTTGGCGCGTTCCGTTGACACCAGAGCGCGGTATCGTGATTAGAAGGAATCCATCAGATGTGTGTCGGGTGATGATCGGACAGTGACCTGCAAACCCATCTGCATTCGCAGCGGGGACGCCCTGCAGTCCTTGCCTTTACCCCTTCTCGATGTTCAGTTTGCTCTGTGTCAGTCCGTCGACTGTTGTAGAGGCGTGTCTTCTGCCCGAGATCGAGACCATCTCTCTCCGTTCTCCTCCCTGCTCCCTCCTGGGAGTGGGTCCCTGGGTCATCACGTGAGTGCGCGTGCGGCAGGCTTGTGGCGTGTCGACGCGGCGACGACCCTGGCTACCCGGAGTTCAAGGCTGAACGATCCGACGGTGGCCCAGAATCCGCCGACATCGAACGATCCGGGAGCCTTGAGACGGGGGTCAATGCAAACGGGGGTCAGCCAGACCGCCAGACCACCACCACCACCACCACCACCACCAGCACCACCACCACCACCACCAGCAGCACCACCATCACCACCACCACCACCACCACCACCACCACCACCACCACCACCACCACCACCACCACCACCACCACCACCACCACCACCACCACCACCACCACCACCACCACCACCACCACCGGGGAGGGCCACCTGCAGCGAGGGGCTCCACGATGCCTTCCCAGACTGGGGGACGGGGACGTCTCGAGCGAGAGGGGTCGGGGCTCAAAAGACGGGGGTCAATGCAAACGGGGGTCAGCCAGAGCGCCGGACCTTGCAGGATCCTGCAGAGCTGGGGGTGCACTGACCCCGGGTCTGGGTGCAGGATCCTGCAGGATTTTGCCAGTTCCTGGAGAGCCTGACTGACCTTGGTCTGGTTCGGCCAGGGTCAGTGCGTCTTCGAACGACCTCCGCGCCACCAGAAAGCCGCGAGCGTTCAACGCTAAGCGACCCGCGCGGTGTCAGCAGCCGGCGCCCGTGCCGTCACGACATGGCCTGCCGAAAGCACCACGGCACAACCCCAGGGCATTGATTTCATTGGCCACCAGAGTACAACCTGCGATGTTCGAGTGATGCCGTGTCCCAGCGCCACCGTCAGCCCCGCGTAGGGCCGTCCCCCTTTGGAAGACACTGGCGCAGTCTCCAGTCTCCAATCTCTACCGCATGGTCGAGCACTCGTCATCTTCCCTGCTCGCCGAGCGCGTTCCACTGCTCGCAGAGTGCCTGCTCGCAAACGTCCGAAAAACACACATCTGTCTGCTTTGACGTAATTTATCGTAGATCCCCAGCGGGGATCCAGGCCACTTGCGAGTAGCTACTTTGCGAGTAGTGGAACGCGCTCGTCGACCTGCGCCGAGGCGGCGGGCTCCCGCGCCGCGCCCTGACGGGCAAGAAGGGCGGGCCTCCGGGCGGCGCGCGCACGACTGCGGTGCTCGCTCCTCCCCTCCTCCGCTCGCTCCCGCCTCCCTCCTTGCATGAAGTCGGGCGTGTCCCCCTACAGGGGGACTTTTCGACGAAACATAAAAAGTACTCAAAAAAGATTCCCAAATGGTCAAAGAATATTCCAAAAGTAGTCCCCAGATGTTTTTATGATTATTTTTTGAATATTCCTCCTGTAGAGGGACGGCTCGACTTAATCCTTGCAATGGCTTCCGCCTCCCTCCTTCCAGTGGAGGACAGGCCACCTGGACCCTCTGTACCTGGCGTTGGCGGAACAGCGCTGCAGCCGCCCTGCCCCTGTTGGACTCCTGCCCCAGGTGCGCCAACGGAAGGGCCTCGCTTGCATCGAAGAAGAAGAAACGCCATCAAGATAAACTTTTGGCGCTCCGCGCGGATTTCTTGGATCCGCGCTGGGCCCCCCCCCCCTCCCCGGCGGCGCCTCTGGCGCCGCCCCTGGCGCGCTCCGCGCGCCCCTGGGGGCGGGTCCAGCGCAGATCCAAGAAATCCGCGCGGAGCGCCAAAAGTTTTTGTTCATGGCGTTTTCCCTTTGTCTATTGCAGGAGTGCCTGTTATGGAGCGCGGCCCTTCTGGGACCTCTCTGGGCTAAGGGGGGGCTCTGGTTTTCGTACCGTTCCTGAGATCTGGGCCAGGGAACCTGCTGCAGTCAACCCGCATAGGAAGGATAGGCAACCTTCCCGCGGGTACCCTTGCATCCTTGCCTCCTCGGTCCATCATTCGCCGCTTTCGCTGGCCGCGCCCCGCCCGAAAAGCTTCGAAATGGGCGTCCAAGGCCCCTGCATCCTCATCGCGCATCCTTACTATACTGGTTGACTGTAGTGTTAAGTCGGGCACGTCCCTCTACATGGGGAATGTTCAAGAATAGTAAAAGTAGTGTGGGGACTATTTTTGGCGTTTTTTTGGACCAGTTGGGAATATTTTTGGATCATTTCTTATGTTTCGTCCAAAATCCCCCTGTGGGGGGACAGGCCCGACCTAAAACTGTACTGGTTGACTGCAGTGGTCGCCAGTGGCCGAGGCTCGCCGTGCCCCGGCAAGCGCTCACTCGTAGGCCCCCCGTCGGAGCGCTCCTTAGCGGCAGCACGAGGGCTGCACGGGGGGCAGCGATGGGGTTGTGGAAGTCGATTCGTGGAGAGGAAGCATGTTGCCAACTAGCTTTCAGATGTCTAAAACATGTTTCAAACATGCTCTTAATGATGCAAAAAGCACGGTTGAAGCATTTCCAGAACACGTTTTGCACATGGTAAACACATCTTTGATTCGATGATAAGACTGTTAGAGTGTCCATTGTCATGGCATCCACAACGATGGGGGGGGGGACCAGCATAGGGTTGAGTCGGGCGTGTCCACAACGATGGGGGGGGGACCAGCATAGGGTTGAGTCAAAACATAGTGGGCGACTTTTTGACTATTCTTGACCGTGTGGGAGTTTCTTGTCCAAAATCCCCCTGTAGGGGACAGGCCCGACTTCAGCATAGGGGGGGATGCATCGGCCCCCAGTCGCCCACTGATCGCCGATAGGGGCCCGATAAGCCCCAGCCCGCCCAGGAAGGTGCGGTTTCGCTATCGGGGGCCTATCGCCGATCTGCCGACGATGTGTCGCCGATTCCAGGTCGATGCATCCCCCCCTGTGCCAGCCACCCTCCCCCCATCGATGCCCCTCATGCACGAGGGTGGCTCCTCTGCCCTCGGCTCTCGGGGGCGGCCCGAGCGAGCGAGCGAGCGCGCGGCGAGGCCAAGAAGTCGACCTCCTCCTTCGAGCAGAAGATCACGGCCCGCCCCCCTTGGCCGCGCATCGCGGCCGCCGCCGCCAGAGCGAGGCCGACGGTGAGGAGGAGGAGGAGGAGGAGGAGGAGGAGGAGGAGGAGGAGGAGGAGGAGGAGGAGGAGGAGGAGGTGGAGGTGGAGGAGGACGGGCTGCTGCCCCTGCTGCCCCTGCTGCTCCTGCTGCTGCTGCTCCTGCTGCTGCTGCTGCTCCTCCTCCTCCTCCTCCTCCTCCCTCGAGGAGCGCAGTGCAGCAGTGTTTGTGTCGTCGTTCTCGTGAGGGGCGGCGTTTCCGATCCCCAGAGTCTCGGGGAAGGCTGTCTCTCAGGCTGGCTCTGGCGGATTCCATTGGCTCGTCTCGTCTCGTCTGGTCTCGTCTCGTCTGGTCTCGTCTCGTCTCCTCTAAGACATGATCGGGGCCTCTGAGAGGTCTCCCCCCTGGTTCTGCCCTCCCCCTCTCGGTGCGCTGCTCCACACACAGCCCAGCACTGGTCCGCACACAGTGGCACAATTTCTGGCGCGCTTGCCGTCGCAGTTCTTTTCTTCTCATTTTGTCGTGGCCTTCGTTTCATATATGTTTTTCCGATGCCCCGTCTAGACGCCGTCGGAGCAGCCCGCCGCGGAGCCTAGCCAGCCCTCTGCGTCTCGTCCTCGATCTCTCCTCGCCGTCGCCGTCGTCGTCGTCGTCGTCGTCGTCGTCGTCGTCGCCAGTCCCATCTTTTTGTCTGTCCTGTCCTCTTGGTGCGCGCCGCCCACGCGCGGTTGGAAGCAGCCGGCGGACGCCCCCGCAGGCAGCAAAAAGGGTGGCGCGAGGGCCGCGCGGTCCCCGCGCGCGTTCTCCCGCCCTTGGGGCCCGCCGGCGAGGCGAAGAGAGTGCGGGAGGAGCTCGCCGAGCTGTTGAAGGAGATGGAGGCCTCCCCCCGAGAGGAGGGACGAGGCACATCCAAGGCGAATACTAAGAATGAGCACCCTTCCTGAAGGTACCCTTGCATCCTTGCCTCCCCGGTCCATCCTTGGCCACTTGCGTTGGTCGTGCCCTTCTCGGAAGCTTCCAAGTGGGCGTCCAAGACCCCTGCATATCGGAAACTGGAACATCTACATTACCAGTAGCGGGCTGTTTTTAAATCCCTTCTTGAGGGTCGAGGACGACGCTGGGGGGGTGTGGTGTATACTTTTTTCCCCGATGTCACGGGGAAACAACGAAACATGTATACACCAGGGTCCCGTATACACCAGGATCCGCTCGCCAGTACAAATGCCTCGGTGCATAGAGTTCGATTCCCTAGCATCCTCATCGCGCATCCTCATGCCACGGGCCGACGGTGCAGCCAGCAGGGCGCTGAAAGAAGGACCTCTCTGGGCTCGGAAGCGGCTCGCTGCTCCCGTGGTCGTTCCGCGGCTGTGCCTCCGGCCCCCCTCGCGCACCCGGGCTCCTCTGGTGTCACGCGGGGGGTCCTCCTCCTCCTCCTCCTCCTCCTCCTCCTCCTCCTCCTCCTCCTCCTCCTCCTCCTCCTCCTCCTCCTCCTCCTCCTCCTCCTCCTCCTCCTCCTCCTCCTCCTCCTCCTCCTCCTCCTCCTCCTCCTCCCTCCTCCTCCTCCTTCTCCTCCTCCTCCTCCTCTCCTTGTCCTCCTCCTCCTCTTCCTTCTCCTCGGATCCCACACGTCACCCACCCCCGCCACTGCCCCCCCCCGCTTGGCTGCGTTCCCTACTTGGCGCTCCTTGTTTCAGCAGCCCGACTGTACCGATGCCGCCTGCCCTGCCCTTGTTGTGGGCCCTCGTCGTGTGCCCCCCCGGGAGGGCCCTCGCCACCACGGCTGCGTTCTCCTCGAAATTCTGGCCAGGAAGCACCCCAGGAGAGATCTGATGATGATGATGATGATGATGATGATGATGATGATGCTGCTACTGATGATGATGATGATGGTGGTGGTGGTGGTGATGATGCTGCTGCTGATGATAATGTCAATGACGAGGATGTTGATGTTGATGTTGATGATGATTATTTTGTTGGTACTGATGACGATGACGACGATGATGCTGATGCTGCTGCTGCTGCTGATGATGATGACAATGACGATGACGAGACGATGATGGTGATGATGGTGACGATGGTGATGTTGATGACGACGATGATGGTGATGATGACGATGACGATGACGATGACGATATGATGATGATGACCATGATGATGATGATGATGATGATCATGATGATAATGACGATGATGATGATGTTGATGATCATGATCACGATTATCCAGATGATCATGATGCTGATGATGATGATGATGTCGATGCCGATGATGATGATGATGATGATGATGATGATGATGATGATGATGATGATGATGATGATGATCAGTAATAATAGCAAGGATCATACTAATAATAAGATGATGATGAGGATGCTTATGATGATGATGATGATGATGATGATGATGATGATGATGATGATGGTGGTGGTGGTGGTGGTGGTTATGATGATGATGGTGGTGGTGGTGGTGATGATGATGATGATGATGATGATGATGATGATGGTGATGGTGGTGGTGGTGATGTTGGTGATGATGATGATGGTGGTGATGATGCTGCTGATGGTCGTTCTATAGGCTTACGCCACATTCGCCGACCCCTCTATAAACTACTGCGCCTCCAGGACTGCCTTCCACGAGGCTTGTCCGAATCATGACACGGCGCTCGGCAGCGTTCCTGTTGCCTCGTTGCTGTCGTATTTTCGCTTTGGGATGTCCGTTGGGATCTCGTGGCGAGGATTCTCGCGGGCCTCTTCGAGGCAGTTTCGAAGGGTCTTGGGGGCCGCTTTGGGGCTTCTTTTGGACCTCTTGGGGGCTCCTTGGGGCCTCTTGGGAGCCTCATGGGGGCCTCTTGGGGCCGCTTGGTGGCCTCTTGCGTCCTCCGGAGAGCTTCGTTGGGCGGAGCGCTGGAATTCGCGCTTCGTGGTCCCTCTCTTGGGCCCTTCTTGGGGCCGTCCTGGAGCTCTCTTGGGCCGTCTAGGGCGCCTCTTGGGCCACGTTGGAGTTCTTTTGGGTTGTCTTTGGGGCCTCCTGGGAGCCTCGGTGGCCGTCTTGCGTGGTCCTGGGGGCCTTGTGGGGGCCTCGTGGACGGCTTTCAACGCCGTGAAGGTTAACGAGTTTGGATATGCTGAAAATGCACGATGGTGGTGATGATGACGCTGAGGATGATTATGACAATGGCGATGAGTTTGATGATGTTGATGATGATTATGATGATGATGATGATGATGATGATGATGATGATGATGATGATGATGATGATGATGATCATGATGCTAGTGATGATGCTGATGATGATGTTGATGATGATGTTGATGATGGTGTTGGTTGTAATGTTGTTGTTGATGATGATGATGATGATGATGATGATCATGGCGACGAAGATGGTGACGACGACGGCGAATATAGTGTTTCCCAGCTACCTGTACGATAGCTGTGATGATCGTAGCGAAGGAGGAGGAGGAGGACCAGTGTAAACCTAAGACGCATCAGCGATGTTGCAATCAATCCTCCATCGAATCTCCCTCTTCATAGGCCCCTGCAAGGGTTCATCCATTGAGGGAAGTGCCCCGTTGGAAGAACCGTTTGAACATCTGGAACCGTGCCAGAGCACCTTTCCTGGGACTTCACCGCTACGAATCAACCTTACTAGTGCGTCTCGAAGATCCTGCATCGTGCCATGGCGCCATTCCTGGGACTCGAACACTGCAAATCAGCATAATTTTTGCGTCCTGACAATCCTACATCGTTCCAAAACGCAGTCTCTGGGACGTTCAGCATTCTCATCCTGGAAACTGTTGCAAACTCTCTAGACGAATCTGCGCGGCTCGAAGGCGAGAGCCACATTTGAAACGTACCGCCCCCCAGCCGTGAAACTCTCGAAATGTTTTGATGACTGTGCGCGGCGCTAAGGCGAGAGTCACATCTCGAAAACAACCTGCCCTTCATCCGTGAAGCTCTTGTTGCAGTCTTTTAAGACAAGTGTGCGCGGGGCTCAGGCGAGAGCCTAATTGTGAAAGTGTCCCGCTCTCCATCGTGATTTCGTCGCAAATTTCAAGCGCAAGGGCCATACATGGCGAGGAAGTCCCAGGCGAAACGCCCAGACCGCCCCTACGGACACGTCTTGGGGTGCGGCAGGGAGGTGTTACCTATTGGGAAAAGGTGAGGAGGAGGAATATTAATAAATCGACGAAGAAGAAGACGACTTATAATAATACTTTTAATCATAGTACTAAAAGTACGAATACATAATACTACTACGCATGATAATATGCTCATATTATTAATAAGACCACTGAGATGACGAGTGCTAATACGAATATTAATAGTAGTAAGAATATTCATATTACTAATACTAAGAAGGAAATTAAATGATTGCGAAGGCCTTACGGCCAGTGCCGCCGACCCTGAGAACGACGAAGATGAAAACGAGGGGGGGGCAGGGGGAGGAGGATGAGTGGGAGGTGGAGGAAGGGTGGAGGAGGTGGATGAGGGAGGAGGAGGGGGGAGAAGGATGTGGAGGAGAAGCAAGAGGAGGAGAAGGAGGCAGAGGAGAGCAGGAGGAGGGGGAGCAGAGGGGAGGGGAGGAGGAGGAGGAGGAGGAGGAGGAGGAGGAGGAGGAGGAGGAGGAGGAGGAGGAGGAGGAGGAGGAGGAGGAGGAGGAGGAGGAGAGAGGAGGAGGAGGAGGAGGAGGGGGAGGAGGAGGAGGAGGAGGAGGAGGAGGAGGAGGAGGAGGAGAGGAGGAGGAGGAGGAGCAGAGGAGGGGAGGAGGAGGAGGAGGAGGAGGAGGAGGAGAGGAGGAGGCCAGAGGCTTTCTTGGGACAGCCTGGGGCTCTCTTGAGGCCGTCTTGGGCCGTCCAGGGCTCCTCTTGCGCGGTCTCGAGGCACTCTTGGAGGCCTCCTGGGCTGTCTTGGGCCAATCTTGGGGGCCTCTTGGGCCTTCTTGGAGGCGTCTTGGGCCGTCTTGGGGCCCTCTTCGGCCGTTAGGGGACCCTCTTGGGGGCCTCTTGGGCCGTCTCGGGGCGATCTTGGGGGCCTCTTGGGCCGTCTTGGCGCGTCGGGAAGCGGAAGAGGCAAGAACGCCAAAATCTGTTGAAAACGTATTGGAAATCCATGAATTTTGCCTCTTGGGGTTCTCGTGGGAAAGCTCCTGGAGGCCTCTTGGGGCGCTTTGCAGGCCTCTTGGCCGTCTGGAGGTCGTCAAGGCGTCTTGGACAGATCGTTTGGCGATTCGGGGTTCTCTTGGACTGTCTTTGGGGCCTCTTGGGGCACTCTTGGCCCGTCTTGGGGCTTTTTTGGGCTCCGGGACTCCTGGGGGGGGCGTCATATCTGACGCCCCCATCGGGACCCCCCCGGGACCGCCCCAGGCCCCCCCTCGCCTCCGGCGGGGAAGGGATCGAAGGGAAGGGGCTTCCCTTCGACTCAATTACGACGTTGCTCAACTTCGCTTTGGTTGGCGCGCTGAGGAGGTCCCTGGAAAAGGGGGGAGCTTCGAAGAGCCCAGGGAAAGGGGGAGGCAGGGAAAGGGGACGACAGAGACGACGACCAACGAATGACGGAGATGACGACTTGAACGGGCAAGCCCCTCACACACGCCGACAGGGTCGGCGGATCTATAGTACCAAGACGAGCAATAACAGTAATACGAAGAAGAGGAGGAGGAAGAGGAGGAGGAGGAGGAGGAGGAGGAGGAGGAGGAGGAGGGAGAGGACGTGGTTGAGGGGCCCACCACCGAGGCGGAGAAGGCGAAGGTCGATCAGGTGTGTGCCCCCCTGCTGGAGAACGGCGGAGAGGAGCTCCCCAGCACCGGCTTCCCTTGCAGACTCGCCTTGCTGCTCATTCTGCTTCCCCCTTCTCGTCGTCGTCCTTGTCGTCGTCCTCAATCTCATCCGCATCTTTTTTTGCCCTCCTCTTCCTCCTCCTGCTCCTCTGGCCCTTCTGTCCTCGTCGTCGGCCGTATAGGCTCCGATTGCCCGAGTTCCGAGAGGGGGCTTCGGGTTTGCCAGGGCCTCTGACAATCTCCATGTGGTAATACGGCTGGGCTCCGACATCCTTAGCAGGATTGTAAAGCGCAGATGGTCGGTCAGAAAGCCAAGCTGGGTAAAGGAATGAGGGGGCGTGACAAACGCAGGACACAGCAGGTGGGAGAAGATGACCCTTGGCCGCCTCTGCCGCTGCAGCCAGGCCCACAGCGTTCGGGTCAGTCTCGTCCTGGGGGTTCGCAGCCAGTGGGGGGGCGCCGTGGCGCGTGTCTTCGCCGCCACGATGGTGGACGTCTGTGCCGCCTCCGCCTCCTACCCCAGCCGATGTTCGACGCCATGGAGGTATATCCAACGCTAAGGACAGTAAGGCGAAGTGCTCGTCGTGCGCGCGTCGGGCTCGGGCTTCGAATCTGCAGATGTGCAAGGATACGTGTTTTTGCGGCGCTCCCTTCAGCAGCACTCCGCCTCCCCAGGCTGCTGGGGCCGGCGGAGATGGAAGGGCCGGCGGCCCTCAAGGACCGAGCGGGCACCGAGCACGCACGAAGGCCGCCCGAGCTCCTTTTTGGTGAGCCTCACGTGCGCAGGTCAAGCGCCTTGTGACGGACATGCCAGTGATTCGGCAGGTGACAGCGGTGGCGAGTGAGGTCCAGAGTGCTCAGACTGCCTTCGACAAGGCCGAGAATCGGCAGCTCAAGCTTGCATTGGATCTCGACAAGTGCAAAAGAAGGTCCTTCAGGAGTCAGCCAAGAGCCCTGCGGAGGCGAAGCGGGAGCGTGCTGAGTCGTTCCGCTCCATGGTGCCATCGCAGCAAGGAAGCGCAGGGGCTGGGTCGTAGTGCTCGCGATCCTCGACGATCGATGTCTCAGCGTTGTTCTCTGCCAATCGTGTTGAGGATGCGCTATTCACGACTTCGCTAGGGACAGAGTTCGCCAACGAGGATGGTTTCATTGACGCGACGGACATGGCTGTGATTGATAGGATGGAGGGGGCGATGCGCGGTGCTTTTCTTCACGCGCTGAAGGCCGCGTTCGGGGAAGCTCTTTGGCAACTCATGGAGCATCGTGATAAGTTGTCGGGCGTTCGCGGGCAATCGCCAATAGCAGGAGTCAGCATTCCCGTGGGCCTCAGGCCCCCCCAATCCCAGCCTGCTGAAGGTGCAGCGGCTTCGGCTGGGTCGTGTTCAACGGCGGCCTCTTCTGCGGGTTCACGGGGTCTGCTCCTGTTCGTGAAGATGTACAGCAGGATGCTGTGGCGCCGATGTCCTTGTTGTCTATATTAGATGGAGCGTGCCAGGCTCGAGGCGATAGGGGGTGAGTTGAAGGAGGGTGCGGGCGTGTTGCTGAGTGTTGCACGGTCGGTGGCGGCGAAGGACGACCCGTCTCATCTTCGCCGCGCGCGATGCCTTCGGCTGTGGCGGGTTTGAGTCGAGCGATTGCGTCGCCATCTACCACTTCTAGGTCGACACCATTCGTATTCTGTGTCAGCGGTGCGGCCCGGCGCCGCCCCGGAGAAAGCTGCGTCTCTGCGGGTGAACAGGGTTGCCCGCGCTCGCGTTAGAGCTTCGGCTTCGACGGCGCAGAGCGGGGGGTCTCTCACTCGCCCTGGTGGATCGGCTGGAGGGGTCGGCGCGAGCTCCTTGTTGCCCCGCGTTGCTGGGGCAGTGATTTCTCCCTGGGTGGGGTCCAGCTTTCCAGTGGCCGCGCGTTCCACGATGACGGTTGTTTTCTTCGTCTTCCGCTGGGCCCGGCGCCGCCCCTGCGAAGATTGCGCTGGTGGCTGGATGAGAGTTTGCTGGGCCAGTGCTGCCCCGCATGGCCAGAGACGTGGTCTCCGTTGGGGTTGGGTCGCGTTCTTCGAGTTCGGGAGGGCCGAGCGACGCCGCTGAGAATGCTGTGGGATCGGCTGGCGGGGAATGCGCGCGGATGTCTCTGCCCCGCGTGGCCAGGGGGGCGGCCCCCCCTGGGGCGGGGTCCGGTGCTTGGGCGGCCTTGCCGGCCTCGGGCGCGGCGTCTTCTTCGGCGGGGGCGTGCGGGTTCAGCGCCGGTCCAGGCGAGGAGTGTTTCCACGGCGGGAGGGGAATGCGCTGGGCTCCTGCCCCGCGTGGGCAGGGATGCGGCTGCCCATGGGGCGGGGCCGCGATGCGCGTCGTCTCGGCGGCTGGGCGACGCCTCTGAGAAGGTCGCTTTGGCGGCTGGGGGGGTGGGGGTGGCGCGCTTCGGCTGACAAGCCTCGCTTGGCCAGGGATATTGAGTTCCATGGGGTGAGGTCGGGGCCCTCTGGCCCGCCGTCCAAGTTTGTATTTGTCGTGGAGAGGACTCACCAACCCCTGCGCGTGCGTAGTAATTCGGGGGGCGCTGGGCCCGGCGGCCAGGTCGTCGGCCGCGGGGCGGACGGCAGGCGCCGCCGTGGTTCCGCGGGGGCACGCCGAGGAATAAGGTCCAGGTCAAATTCTTCATGACTGGGGGGCGGCGGGCAGCGCGGGCGTGCATCCTTCTTCTCTTCCTGTTTCTTCTTCTTCTTCTTCTTCGCGTGAGACAGGGTCCAAGGCCGAGGCGGGCGGCGTTGCCGCGGGGGCCGCGAAGAGGTATCGGGCCCACTTGTTGCGCCGCCTGGCTCCGGAACCGCGTCGCCAAGTGGGCCTTCGTGATCTTGGAAGTGGTGCTTCGCCGCCAGACGGCTGACTTTGGTGGCGTGGTGGGTCTCCAGATTCAGGCTTTGAAACAGTCCTCATTGTGGGTGTGTGCAATGCGTCTTTTGTTGAGCTCAATGCCAAGGCGCCCGAACTCGCCGGCGTTGCCGCGTTGGTGTCCGCGTGCCGTGGGCCATGGGTCGCCATCCGCCGCTGAAAAATTACCCCTGCGGGAGTTGACGTCTACCGGTTGGCTGTCCTTTGCGTGTGTGTGTGTGTGTGTGTGTGTGTGTGTGTGTGTGTGTGTGTTTGTGTGTGTGTGTGTGTGTGTGTGCGTGTGCGTGTGCGCGTGTGCGTGTGCGGCGAACGTCGCGCCGTCGAACGTGGGGTATGTAGGTGCCGTGGGTGGTGTTCGCGTGCTCGATTAACTCGTTGCTTCGCGATCGGCTTGTCCTTGGATCGGTGGTTTGCTAGCAGTTTTCCGTGCGGTCGAGGAAGCGGGCCAAGCTCATTGCGCCTGATCTGAAATTGGATTTCGATGTGCGTCGGTCGGGGGCGCGGTTGATGATGGCGCCCCGTGCCCCCCCTCGCCCCTGTCAGCCGGGGCGCCTGCCTGGCCCTGCCAGCAAGCTGTCCAGGGCTCGCGCTGCGGCAGAGGAGCGGAATGGGGAGGGCCGTTTCTATGGGGGCGCCTCCCGCGCTTGCTTCGCGGAGTCTCCTGCGGAACCTTGCCGCCGAGGGTCCGCCTCCCCTGCGGCGCGTCATGTCGGATGATGATATGGGCGACGCCTTCGCGGACCATGGGGCCGCGTGCGTGCCAGCTGATGACGGTGGCGCGTAGGTGGCCGTCGCGGATTCGGATGTGGGCGCGTTTGCGTCGATCCGGAGTGGGTGGGCTGAAGGGGGCTGAGGATTCGCCGTGGCAGCTGGTGGCGCCGCGGAATCCTCCTTTGGGAGCTCCTGAAGTTGCGAAAGAGGCTGGGGATCTTCGCCACCGCTTCGCGACTTAGGTTGGCGCCGTGGAGGCGCAATCCCTCGGGCTGACAGGAAGCAATATGGTTGACGGTCGTCGGTGAAGGGGTCTCGGCTCGGTGTCTATTGGGGGTCCAAATCGTAAATTTCTTCCGCGGGTCTCAGCTCTCATTGGCGGGCTGCGGCTGCCAACCTAGTGGGGAGTTCTCTCACTTGAAAGCCGACAAAGCCGGTGTGCCGCGTGTTCATCATCTGCGAGTGTTCCTACGGAGTCAGGCTGGCGCAGTTCCTGATGATCAGATTGTTCCTCTCTGTTCGCAAACGTGGTCGATGGATTCGCGGTTTGAGGTCGTTCGTTCATGCTATTTTGTGAGTCCGCGGAGGCGTTCGCTGCTGCGGCCATGAGGGCTGGGAGCAAAAGCTCGTCTGGCGGCTGCTCGGCAGCAGTTTTTTCGAGGCATGGTTCATCGGCAGTTGGTGGCTGAGTGCGGAGCTTTACACGCGTGCGTCAAGGATAGCTCGGCAGGGCTCGGCCCCCGATGGCTGCGACGACAACGGGGCGATGGCCGCCTTGTCGGAGGCGCGGCAGCTGGCGTTGCGCGACAGTCTGGGGCCCTGGACGTTGGGCCAGCTCCTGGAGGCGCTGTGTTCGAGGCGCCAAGGGCGTCGAGGGAGTCGGGCAGCGTGGCGCGCGTTGGCTTATTGAGCCATGGTCGCCGCGGGCTCCTGAATTTGTTTCGCGAGATTGAAGCCAGGGTCGCTTGGTCTTGGCAATGGCTCGCATCTCTGAATTCTCTTGTTGCGCAAACCTGACGTGCGTATGGGTCGCGCTACTGGCTTGCTCGCATGGCTCGGTCTTCCGCGGAGTCGCATGAGGTCTCGCCCCGCGGAGGTCGGGGCCGCCGGGCGCGCGGGGCCGTGGGGCGCTGCGGTTTTTCGTGCGTAGATCGATGAATGTCACCCAGCGTGCGGGGGGGCTTCGAAGCGACGTTGTCCGTGAATGAGTTTCGGCTCGCAGCGTCTCTGCTGGCGGCTGTGCCGAGCAGGCTGAATAGTGCTAGCCAGTTCGCGACTGCTCAGATTTGTCAGTGGTCCGCCAGGTCCAGGCGGGCTGGGGCTTGCGGGAGATCCGGGTCGAAGTTGCTCCTGTGCCGGGAGTGAGCGCTGCAGCGGGGTCGCCCGCAGTGGGGTCGCCCAGGCCAAGCTTCGT